TAGGCTCCAGCCCCAGCCCCAGCCCCAGCCCCAGCCCCAGCCCCACTTGGGGCACGGGCCAGAGGCAGCCAATCGATGTGCCTCTCTCACATCGATGTATCTCTCCCTGCCCACTCTCTCTGAAAAGCTAATGGAAATAATATCCTCAGGTGAGGATTTAAAAAAAAAAAAAAAAAAAAAGCCCGGCCGGACATGGCTCAGTGGTTGAGCATCGACCTGGGATCCAGGCAGTGGGGGTTCAATTCCCGGTCAGGGCACATGCCCGGGTTGTGGGCTCTATCGATGATTCTCTCATCATTGATGTTTCTGTCTCTCTGTCTCCCCCTCCCTTCCTCTCTCTGAAATCAGTAAAGATACATTTAAAAAATAAAGTGAATTCACTTTAAAAAAAAAAAAAAAAGAGACAGGTAAGGTAAAGAGATTAAGCTATAGTGCAGTAAGTTACAGGGTTTGGGGCTCTGTTTTTCAGAGCGCCAAAATTAGAACTTGACGAAATGTAATATGAAATGGAAACTGAAAGTCTTTCATTTGAGTGTGTGGCTAGAATAGTGTTTCTTGTGTCTCTGTTGAAAAACCTAAAATAGTTACCTCTTCCAGAGGCCAGCCCCGTGGAGCCTCTGCCTGGCACCCAAGCCTCCGAGCTAGGGTGACTTTGCCACGTGAACCTTCATCCCACGCTGGGCCCCATGGGCCTGCATCCCCGCCGGTCACCACACGCCTCACGACGTTTTCCATCGGCTTCTCTCCTGGGGGTGCCACACCTCCTCCCGGCTGTGTTCTCTCTACTCTCTTACACTCTCCAATTGTGTGTCTGTGAAAACTAAGTCTTCAGAGCACAGCAAGCTCCCCCTCCCCTGTCTCATTACATAACACTCATTTTACACATGAGGAAACAAACATGGGCGCAGTCCCAGCGGCGAGCTGGGGAGCAGAGGCTGGCTGTGTGCCTGGCCTGTGGTCTTCCACAGGTCAGAGCCTGGGCTCACGGGGACAGGTGAGCACGCTTGTCCCGTCATAGCACTGCCCCCAGCATGGTACACAGGGTGCTCAGGGTCCTAGACTAAGTGTTGTCACCCCTTGCCATCGAGTCCAGTGCCACCCAGTGGGCACGGGCCTCTATGACCCAGAAGTCATAGGCCAGTGTAAATGGGCCCAGCATCAGCACTGGCCCTGGGGGCAAGTGTCAGACTTGTGATTTGTGCCTTGAGTACTGGTGGAAGCTCAACTCTTCACTGTAGAACGGGAGTCGCGTGGACGGAATAGAGAAAAAGCTACTTCTGCAGACGGTTACCTGGTCCGCACGTTAGGCCCGTGTGGCTAAGCCCCTGCTGTACTCATGTCCACTTTGAACTAAATCAAAGAACAGCGGTGTTGCTTTCAACTTCTCAGAACTGTGATTTTTTGAAGAACAAAGATGTAAACTTAGGCCTGGCTGGTGTCGCTCAGTGGTTGAGCCTCAGCCTATGAACCAGGAGGTCAGGGTTCGATTTCCCGTCGGGGCACACGCCCCAGTTTCGGGCTCGATCCCCACCGGGGGGGCCTGCAGGAGGCGGCCGATCCATGACCCTCTCATCATTGATGTTTATGTCTCTCTCTCTCTGTCCCTTCCTCTCTCTGAAATCAATTTTTTTAAAAAGATATCAAATTGGTTTAAGTTTCGATGCTTTGTTACAGCAGGATAGTCTTCCAGGGAGGGACTGGTCTGGGTACCGTGTTAACTGCCACAGAGAAGGCTCGCTGTTAAGCTGTTGTCACTCTGTGTTCCTTATGTCGTTCTGACCCCGTCATCTCTCCTTGTCTGGCAGCGGTTGTCGGCTTGCTGTACCCCTGCATCGACAGTCACCTGGGGGAGCCCCACAAGTTCAAGAGGGAGTGGGCCAGCGTGATGCGCTGCGTGGCGGTTTTCGTGGGCATCAACCACGCCAGCGCTGTATCCTTCTGTGGGCACCCTGTGCCGCGTCCAGAGCGTCCTCCTAGGCCCCGTGTGGAAGCGTGCCGTGGCTCTGACCCGGCGTACGTTGCCCAGTAGGTCGTGGAACAGTGTTCTTCCGGGCGGTGTTTTAAAGCCTGTCACTTCATTTACCCTCAGCAGGAGGTTTCGTCGTGGTCCTGAGCTGGAAGAAGACGGTGGGAATGCGGCCCGGGGCCCAGTGGGCTGCTTTCTCTCCTCTGTCGGGCGGTATCTTGTTTCCTCGGAGTATGTGCTTTTTTATTTTGTAATAAATTTTTTATTTTTGGTTTTTTTAGAAAGTGAGGCGAGGGTGAGAAACATTGACGTGAGAGATAAACGTCAATTGGTCGCCTCCCCAAACGCCCCGACCTGACCTGTGACTGAACCCACAACCTGGGTATGCGTCCTGACGGGGAACTGAACCTGCCGCTCTCTGGTTCACGGGATGACGCTCTAACCACTGAGCCACACCAGCCAGGGCCAAGAACGATATTCTTAGAGTTACCGGTTCTTCCGTCTGCTCTACCCCCGTTTAACAGGGAGGGGTCACGACAGGGTGTTGTGAGATTACCTTAGCTCTGCCCCCCGCGGACGCAGTGTCGTGATGGCAGCTAGCTGTGTGCCTCCAAGAGCTAGCGTGTGTGACATCAAGTGACATCGAATGCCATCTGAGAGGGTCTCACGCAGACGGGGAGAGGCGAGAGCTCGTGCAGCTCAAGTTACTGATAAACCGAGAAACAAGAACAGGGCTGCGGGTGGCTCACTAGCAAAATGGGTTGTTCTGTGGCTGAAATGCCGGCAGAATTTTATGCATGGCTTTCAGAAGTTTGCTCGTAAACTTAGGGAAGGAGGGGGACGCAGTGACCTCATAGACGCTTCCCCTCGGCTCGGTCACAGAGCCCTCGTGTCTGACAGTCTGTGCGGCCCACCAGGCAGCTCTCGCGGCTGGAGAAGTATGCGCACGGGGGAAGAACACATCTCGGTGCCTGGGTTTTCTGCGTTTTTTACTCTCATTAAACATCGCTAACTTGTCCTTGACCCGTGCGTCACCAGAAACTGGATTTTGCCAACAACGTTCAGCTCTCCTTGACGTTGGCGGCCCTGTCCCTGGGCCTGTGGTGGACCTTCGACCGTTCGAGGAGCGGGCTCGGGCTCGGGATCACCATCGCCTTCCTGGCCACGCTGATCACGCAGCTGCTGGTGTACAACGGCGTCTACCAGTAAGCACGCGCCCCCCCTCCGGCTGCCCCTCACTCGGGGTCAAACGCCGCCTTAGCTGCGCTGCTCCCACGTTACTTACGCAGAGGGCCGTGGGCTCGGGTGTGAAATGCTCCGAGATGCCCCCGAGTGCCGATCCCCTGCTGTGAGTGCAGCGCCCGCAGTGTAACAGTGTAACGGGAAACCCCGCAGGAGCAACAATGTAGCGATCGGCCGTTAGCATCCTGCCGTCGCGGTTACTCAGCGTTCCTCTGCCCGCAGGTACACGTCCCCAGACTTCCTCTACATCCGCTCCTGGCTGCCCTGCATATTCTTCTCCGGAGGCGTGACGGTTGGGAACATAGGGCGGCAGCTGGCCATGGTAGGTGGACTGCCCCCACAGGCTCCCACCCTTCGTTCCCCAGCTTCATAGGACTTCACGGGACATGTTTTCCTTGGTGTTGACAAATGCCCAGTGGAGACTTAACAGCAACAGTTAAATGAGAAAAGTGTACGTTTTTTAAAAAGAAAGGTGCCCAGGCTGATCGATACAGACAAGGGTTAGGTTCCCACGGCCGCTGATCGGCGCCGTGACGAGGGTATTTGGCGATCAGCGGTCGGTACCCGCGGGGCAGCCACGCCCCGCCGCCCACGGTCTGTGGGGAACCTGTCCTCAGCATCTGAGAGAGTTTGTGTCTGTTGCTGTTTGTAGCTGAATGCCATTCCTCTAAAAAGGCCCAACTTCCACCCGCTGCGGCGGTGGGGCGTCTGCCTCCCGCTGCCCAGGCCGCCTGGCCGCAGCGCCCCCTCAGCGGGAGCGGAGTTGGCTCTCCCGCCTGTGACGTGCTTCCGTCGGGCTGTTGGCTGACTTAGGCCTCCACGTGGCTCCTTCCACCTCTGGTCACAGGAGGGGGTCTAGTTTTACAGATGAGGCTCTGCATGTTCACCTCCTTTACCGCAGAGCACGGTCAGGGCCGAGGAAGGGCGCCGGTCCCGGGGAGTCCCTCTGCTGTCCGCTGGCGGCTTTGTGACTCAGGAAATTGTCCCACAGAGAACTTCCTGCAGGGCCTGGAGAGCAGCAAGTGCCGTAGGGTCTGCAGCAGGCTCTGTGAGCGTCGAGGAGAAAGCGATGCAGAGGCGGCTTCCAGGCTGCCCCGGGAAGGGCACCGGGGACCGGGGGCTTGTCTGCTGCAGGTGCTCCCACAGTTCCTGTCTGCATCACCTTATTCCCGTCAAGGGACTTTCTCAGCTTCCACCCTTCAGGGTCCACCTAACTGCTGGGTAATGCGGATGCACTGAGCTCCCTTCTCTCCCTCTGTTTCTGTCCTTCCAGGGTGTCCCCGAAAAACCACACAACGACTGAGCCTCCTGCCCGCTGCTTCTGGAGGACAGCAGACGTGGCACCGGCACCGAGCGTCCCTCAGCGATCTGCGTGGACCGGGCTGAGCCTCACGTGACTCCAGGAAACTCACCCCTTAGAGTAGCAGCTGCGCAGAGGGACAGCTCGCCCGGAAATGCCACCTCAGCCGCCCCGCGCCTGCCCTGCGACGCTGCGTCCCCAGCGGGGACAGCCGGGCAGCGGGCGGCATTTGAGTGTTCGATGCCGTTTATGTCATAAAAAGCACGTTGCCATATTTCAAAGCCTTGAACTGAAGCCCAGGTCCCAGCTCTTGGTTCGGGGTCGCGCCCACAGCAGAGAGCTTGCTTAACAAAGGCGAGTGTGAGAAAATAGGAATGATGTTTATCCAAAAGTTTTTTAAAAATAGGGTTGTGGGGGGGGGGGAGAACAGCTGCAGGGGCGAACGTAGCGGTCACCTCACGAGGCCCGGCACGCTCACGTGGCTGCTCACGCGTGTCACGGCGCACAGCGGAGCCTCCCTGCAGTGTGGCGCCCGGTGTCGACAATCCTCCCGAGCCGGGCGGCGAGAGGTGGGCTCCGCGTGGCCACCGCGTGTGAAGTTTGGTCTGCGCCGTGCAATTCTCCGCGAGCCAGGCTGCTGCTCCTTCGATGCCCCGGCGTCGGTGACTCTCCCACAGCCTTATGGGATCTGCAATCTGTGATTGCCTTGTACACAGGAGTGCGTCCGTCCCTGCAGCGAACACTCGTGTTTCCGATCGCGCGGAGGTGTTGGTGAGCACAGTGCATCGTCCAGTGGCCCTGGCCACAGGAGACCCGGCTTGTAAGTGCCGGGTCCCTGACTTCAAGTGCAATGTGTACGAAAACCAATCTGAGCCTTGTATCCTGTTACGTATTTATTTTTTTTTTTACCGTGTGAGATGTTGGGGAGGGTTCTCCATTTCAGCGCCGCGTGGAGGCAGAGTCCAGCAATAATTTCTTCCAGGTGTGAAGTTCCTTTGTTGCACCCTCCGCCGGGCCCTGGGCCTGGCACATACTCTAGTTCTGTGGGTTTTAGTAAACATAATTTTTACTTACTTTTTTTTTTTTTTGGTATTTTGAAATGTAAACGTTTTTGGTTTAAGTTCTGGGAACGTGGCCGGACTAACAGGCTCCTGGGATGGCAGCCAGCAGTCAGCAACCGATACGGGGTGGCCTGTCTGTGGATGGGGGCTCAGTGTCCCGGGACGATCCTTGTCTCAGTGGTTTTGTTGTTTTGAGGAAAGTCTCTTACAGTAAATTCTAAGTTAATACGGCTAATTTGTTTTAGGAAGATTTTGTTGAGAGGAAACGTGGTCGTTCTGAACTCTGCAGTGAGTGAGCCCTAATGCGTTTTCTGAAAATATTGCAACGTGGAAAAATCTTTCCACGGAGATGTCAGCATTTCGTGAGGCACTGGGAGGCATGAACTAGAAGCCGGCGTGGAGTCTTTGAATCTACCTGATGAGGGCAAACAAATATTTCTTTCTCTCCAACTGTAAGTCAGCCTGTATCCCTAAGGTACAGTGTCGCCAAAACTGTGAACCCGACGTCCTCTGCCAACACTTCACAGCGAGAACCTGAACCAAAGTGACCCGAGTCTGTAAAAACGCAAAATCGTGTCAACACATTTCGCACGACACCAGGTGGAACAGCGTGAGGTTCACATTCGTACTAAGTTTTCGGCATTGTGTTCTTTTTGCATTTTTTTTTTTGTTTTTAATTTCTATTAAAGGTTCAAAACCAACCATCGTATTGATGGGTTTTTCTTTAAAAGGTGGGGGGTGTTAGAATTTGGAATGGAAACGTTTGCCTGCTCTTTAGTCGGTTTCCACACAATCTCATGGGAACCACCACGTGAGGACTGTGGTTCCTCGTGGCCACCGTTGACCTCCCTCCTTCCCCGCCCACTGACTGTCCCGTCTTGCGGTGAGAGGCCCTTTCTCCCTGGTCTGGGGGTGTCTGGGGGCCTCTGGGCCCAGGAAAGGGACCGAGCCTCAGGACGGCGGCCCCGCGAGCTGGGCTCTCTCTCCCGCGTGCCCGCTGGGTAGAAAGGTGCCCGGGTGACTGGAGGCGTTCTCTCCACCATCGGGCAGATTGCCTTCTGAACCTGGTCACGGCCCATGTCTGTACCTGCCTGCTCTGCCCGGTGCGGGGTCCAAGCTCGTGGACAGAGACAGAGCTGGCCTCCGAGGCTCTCCTTCCAGGGCCCAGACAGGGCCGAGCCGGGTGAGGCAGCCGAGAAGGAGGGGGGGGTGGCGACATCAAATTCTATTTTAAAAAGTAACCAGAGAAGCCTCACCGCAGGGCTGAGAGCATCACCACTGAGGGGCAGGGACCTGGCCACGGGCCTGACCAACCTCGGGGACCAGGGCTCCACTGGGGTTAGTGGGCTCTGGACCTGCCCTGGGGTGGGGGTGATAGGAAACTCCAGAGAAAGAGGGACACACGGGAGGCAGGAGGCCCCAGGGGGGCAGGGAGAGGGACCTGGCCCAGAGGGGGCTGGGGGCCATTGCCCTTGCCGCTGCCCAGGGAGCACATTTCCCAGAAAGCAGCCCTGTGGCCCCACAGAACCGAGAAGGCGCCAGGGGCCCCCCGCACTCACGCTGCGTTTCATAAGGCTTCTATTTTAAGTTGAGAAATAGCCTTTCAATGACAGAGAAGAGTTCACCATATTACCCTCGACCCAATACGTCTCCTAACAGCGCGCACGCCCAAGTTCCCAGTTCCACGCGCGAGGCCGTGAGCTGAGCCCGGGGGAGGAAGACCTGGAGACCGGTCGCCAGGACTGGGAACCGGCCGAGACGAGCTCAGCGTGTGCATCCAGCCCAGCAGTGCCCACCCCGCTAGTCCGAACCCGCGTTTTAGAATAAAGCTGGGGGCGGGAAGGCTCCTGGAAGGTTTCTGGTGCCCGAGCAGGTAACCCACTGACCCCATTTGGTTCAAGGGCAGGCAGGTACTGCACTGGCTCCGGGCTCCTTCCCGCCAGCGAAGGCCCCGGGAGCAGGAACTCGGGGTGGACAGGGCGTGGTCTTCATTCAGCCAGTTTTCAAAGTCACCTGCGGTCCTACCTAGGGGACGTTTCTGGCAGATTAAAGACTAGAATCGGATATAATTGAGCCACGCGGTGGTGCCCTGCGTCCCACCCTTGAGGTGTACACAGTCCCTTCATCTTGGTGGTGCAAAGGCCACCAGTTTAATCCCTCCGACCCGCAGGGCAGGAGACACCGTAGGACCCCTCGGAAACACCAGGATCCCAGCTGCATTTCCAGGAGGGCTCCTCCGGGGAAGCGGCCGCGCGTCAGTGCAGGCCGGGCCCTCACGGCCGGGTGTGCTTTATGCACCAAGACTTAGGCCCTGCCCTGGGTGACCGTGCCGCCCGGTGCACACGCTCGCTCGGGCGCTGGCCAGCGCCTGGGTGATGTTCCACACCCTCCCGCCCTGTGCCTGGCCGAGGCGGGCCTAGCCACAGGGATGGCGGATGTCATCAGCGCCTCGCACCAGCCCCACCTGCTTGCCCTGCCTTCTCGCGAGCACATTTCCACCCGAGGAGCGGAGGAGTCGCCTTTTCAGGGCAGGAGGCCGTGTACTCTGACCGTCCTGTCCGACTGCTTCCAGCCCATCCGAACCTCTCACGCCCAGGGGCTCCTGACCCATCGCCCTTTCCCTGGATTTCTCATCAATCACATCAGTTGCAAAGACCCAGCTAGGGTGCAGCCAGTGTGGCTCAGCGGTTGAGCATCGACCCACGAACCAGGAGGTCACAGTTCGATTCCCGGTCAGGGCACGTGCCCGGGTTTCGGGCTCGATCCCCAGCGGGGGGCGTGCAGGAGGCGGTGGGTCAATGACTCTCATCATTGATGTTTCTCTCTCTCTCCTCCTCTCCCTTCCTCTCTAAAAAAATCAGTAAAAACTTTTTTTAAAAAGATAGTAGGGAAAAGCTGCCTTTCTCCAAATAGTGTTTCTAACCCAGAGGCTCCTCCCGCATGGAGCTGTTTCTCCGGGATTCACTGTTCTGTACCCTCAGTCCCATGGGCTACATTGTGACCCCCCCCCAAAGAAGGCGTGTGGAAGCCCGCACCCCAGCACCTCCAAATGTGACCTTATTTGGAAACCGGGTCTTTGCAGATCTGAGTCAAGATGAGGTCTTAGGGTGGCCCCAGTTTGATAGGACGCGAGTCCTTGTCGAAGGGGAACCATGGACGCAGATATGCAAAGTGAGGATGTGCCGACTGCGGGCTGGAGCGAGGCTCGTACACGTCAGGGACGCCTGAGGCTGCAGACAGGGGAGAGGGGCCTGGGACACACCCTTCAGGTGTGTGGGGTCCCCACACTCTGTGACTTCTCATTTTCTGGCCTCCAGAACCAGGAGACGATCTCTCTCTCGGACATTTGTTGTTTCCTATGACAATTTTGTTTTTCCAGGAGCATAAGCTGCTGGTTCCTACAGGCCCCATCCACCTGGACGCCAAGCATCCCTGGCTGGGCCCATGATCCGTTCTTGTCCTGCTCAAGTTATTCACATCTGACCCAAGTTATCCCCGGGGTCCTGAGGTGGGGACATCCGTGCCATATTGCCGATAGCTGGCAAGGACAGTCAGGGGTTTGCTGAGGAATTTATTGTCCTAGATTTCTGTTATTTGGAAAATTCTCGCATGCGGACCCACTGGGCATCCCAGGCAGGAGAGAGGTGATGCGTGGAGATGGTGGGAAAGCGCCGCCCGAACCACACGGGAAACCAAACCAAACACCGCAGAGGCGCCGCTTGGTCAACCCGGAAAAGTTTGCTGGTGCTCATGTGACCATAATCAGCTCAGGATAAAACCACCTCACCAGGTAGAATTTCAACACTTAATCTCCCATTAATCTGCAGCTGAGCAAACAAACAAAACCACAGGAGCCTCAGGCAGAGACACCGTCTCCCGGGGTGGCATCCAAATCACCTGTCCCAGGCCCCGCAGGCAGCTGTCCCTTCCCAAGGGACCCAAGGCTACCCCAGGGAAACGAGTGGCTGAGCCTCCCTCCGGCCTTGCGATGAGCAGCGAGTCAGGGCCCAGCCCGGGAACCCCAGCTGGGCCTCCCGTCTCTGAAAACCAGTTCTCACGTCGCCCGACTTGAACTTGATTCTGAAATGTTCCCACGGCCCTGAGGAGTTGCCCCCTGGTTGGTGTTTCCCGGGGCAGGACATGGCTGTCTCTGAGGAGAAGGGAGCTGGGGCCCAGGACTCTCCATCCCCTCGGCCCCTGCACCCCCCAATCTAGAGTGATCACCTCTATTCCCACCACGGGCTGGTGCTTTTCGCCGAAAGGCACCCGCGCCCCCTGGTGGCCACGGCCCCGCCTGCGCCTCCCCAGGCCACTCCCTCCTGGAGGTAAATCCGTCTTCAGGTCGTTTTAAAAAGGGCAACCTCAGAGGGAGTTTGCCATCTAGCCTCTTTCCTAAGCTGCAAGGAAATGAAACGGAGCTTTGGGCAATTTATTCGCTGACCGGGACTTGGGGCTTGTTGCCCAGATTGCTGAAAATGAGTGTTTAAGAAAGAAACCAAACCAAAACCCAAACCACCAGGAGGTCGAATGAATAATGCAGCGAAAAGAGCCACCAGGTCCACCCAGACTGCCTCCTCGGCCGCCTTCTGGTCTGCTGGCTTTTCCTCAGGTAGCCGCTCACACCTGGATTGCAAACAACTGCCTCCCCCCCCCTCCTGGGTTTCCAGGGACTCCGGAGCCCCGGTAGAGGGGCCTCAGGGCCCCCGTGTTGCGGGAGGAGGGCAGATTCTTGCTAAAGTGGAGGGGCTCAGGCGCGAGGGGAGGGGCGCCAGGTGTGCCCACCTGCCTCCAGGTGTCTCCAGCTGCCAAACTGTCTGTCCGACCCGGCGGGGAAACAGGCCTCCGTGAATCCCCAGCTGCTCCGCCTGCTGTCGAGACCCGGGGAGGAAGGGAACCCGCTTCTGCGCGTCACCTGAAGCCAGCGAGGAAGGAGCCTCTGCCCTCGGGGCTCAGGTAAAAATGCAAACAGATGCTGCGCCTCCGCCGGCTGAATCTTAAACGAGGCTCTCGGTCGCAGGTGCGGTTTCATTCATGGGGGCAAACAGCTGGAAATCCTATTAGTAAGGGAAACAGAAAAGGCCGCGGATTCCTCCTGGAGACTCGGGGGGAGTGGGAGGTGACGACAAGGCCCCAGCCCGCCGACACATTGGCGTTCCTCTCTGTCCTCACACTGTCACTCCACCGCTTTGCCCTTTGCAGCCAAGGACAGATCTGTGGTCTGGAGGCAGGGCAGAGGCTGACACGCTTAGCCTGTTGGGGGCTGCAGATGATGGGAACAGAAGGCGAGCCCTCAGAGAAGAGGACCGGGCGGGGGGGGTCCCCACGCACTGCCCACCCGAGGTCTCCACAAGCCACACCACCCGGGGGGCCTCTGACACAGGCATAGCCGGGGCCAAGGAGGCGGTGGCTCTAGATACAGACCCCGAGGTTTCTGGCCAGAGGCCCGGCTGTGGGGGCCGCCCCCCCAGGCCCAGCAGTATGTGGCCCAATCAAGACCGTCGGGAAATCAAGAAGATGGGAAAGATACTCAGGTGTCTCCCTACCCCAGATCTGCCCCCTCTATCCCAAAGCGGGGGTCAAAGCCCTGACCAGGCAGCCCTGCGCGGGGCTCAGGCACAGGAGAGGGCCCAGGGCCCCATCTTTGGCGGCACAGCCTCCACAGTGCCCTGGGCAGCCCCCGCCTCACACAGCGAACAGGCCCAATG